AATAAATATATATATATAAAGTCCTGTAAATTAGCTTAGTTTCTTTTCATTCAGAAATGGAATGAATGGAAACAGAATGTTTTGTCCTTTTTTTATTCCAGTTTTCCTGTTTTAAATCTTCAGTTCTAAGAAACTGTCATTTATTTCTTCCTCTTGTACGTTACTAGTTTCTGACACTTCCTAAACTATTGCAGCTCCTAGCAAACAGGTTTACCTTCAAAAGCCTAACTACCCATAGCAGGAGGGGAAAAAAAGATGTCACCACTTCAGTGATCCAGTTGCTCCTCTTTAACCTTACCCTAGTTCCCCTACAATTTTTTTTTTAATTATTCTTTACATCCTGTCACTTTATATGCCCCAACTCTGAACATCATTTACAAGTTCCCAGGATCTGGCCATCTCCAGTGTGCTAAGATTCCTGTTAGTTCTCCCTTTTTCACTGTAACTAGATCCTCTTAGCAGTCTACCAGTCCCCCTTTTGAGTCTAGAAGGCCTGCTGCATTCCCATCCAATGTCACCACCACTTTCCAGCCCCCTTCCTTCACTTCTTTTTGGATTGCTACAGTACAAATATACTACAGACTATCGTGAACTACAAGCACCGCATCCCTAAAATTATACAGACCACTTATTCTTTCCTACTTTTTAATACAGTAAAATTCAAGTCCATGAAGACAATGATATTCTTAAAACTATTCTGAAATACCAATAAGAATAGCTTCATAGAAAAATTACTCATGCTAAGTGTGCAAAATGTTGGAAAGATCAGCACTGGCATTGTCAAATGTGAACACAGAAAAATGGCCCTTTATTCTTCATCACCAAATAAAGCAAGATGAGTTTGCATATCTTGAACACCCAAATCTGCCCCCTTGCAAGCACACTGTTATCTTTACTCATTTTTGCACATTAGATTGAGTAAGCTGGGTGAGTCAGTACACACTATATTTGGACACTTAACCTTGAAAATGTTGAAAATTTTCATATAAAACATTCTTTTTTCCCCTCTCTGCTCTTCCTCATCACATTGGAAAATCATTTTCCTACAGACTGCATGTTTGTGCCCACTACTAATAGCTGTTAGGTTCTGAGAAGTGAGTGCAGATTTTTCAAGGGGAAAATGAATCCAAACACATTCAAATTTTAGTGGTCCAGTGAGAGCAAATGACACTATATGTGATTTCAAAAATCTTCTCTTCCACAAGATACAGAATCTACATGCAAGAGGAAACAATCAGTCACATAGCACTGCACAGTGAGGCTGCACACAAAGACCAGGAGAGTCTGCAGTAAGGTGCATTAAGAGCTCTGCTTTGTCTGTATATTCATATCAGTCAGACAATTAGGTATCACAGGTAATGTATCCCACTCCTGTCTCTGAGAGACTGACTCAGTAACTACCTCTATCAAGACAAACCGAATGGCACACAAAACTTCCTGCTGAGAATCATGTCACTGATTTAGGAGACTAAGTAAGGATTTGTGATCCTAATGTTAAATATTTTGAAATATTTTGAAAATGCTTCCTGATCTTACGTACCAAAGCAACATGAACAGTGAATTCCACGCCAATGCCAACAGAAGCAATCAGGATAACCACAGGCACTGCACTCAGCTTTATTCCAATTAGACCCATCATCCCAAACAGCTCCACAGTCATCAGAGCCAGCACCACCACCTAGATGATTTCAAATAGCTGTTAGTAACTTCTTATACTCCAGACAAATGAAGAGAAAGATATTTCAGAACAATATGGTGACTACAAAACATACTCCTCAAAGCCATCCTGTATTCCTAAAGACCATCTGCTTTTCCTTGTATCATTGTGCTGAATGGCAATGACTTGCTGAACTGCTACTCTAATCACACTCCTAAGAACCAATTATCAGACCAAGCATCAATTTTATATTGATTACAATTTACCAGTGACTTGAAAAACAATTTATTTTTCCTTATCACAGAAACATACATTTTCTATTTTTCACCTTGTTTCCTGGACAATTCTTCCAGAAAAAGTAACTTCCAACTACCCGTATTGGATTTTTTTTTTGCGCAACTGCAAATACAAGTGAGGATGACTTCTGAGTAGGTTTAAAGCCCAGAAAGAAGTGAATGCCATAATCAGCTGATGAGTTTCAGGTTACAGAGGGGCTCTGAGCTTTTAAGATACTTGGAGGGATTGACATGGACAAAGTGAACAGTTAAATCTAAGGGAAAGCTTTTATTTTTCTTTCATCTACCTTGTAAAAAAAAAAGAGGAAAAGGGAGGGGAGGAAATCTGTAGAATCAACTTTAAAAGTTGTTAAAGCCAAGCAGGGAAAAAAAGATAGACATACTTATAAAAGCAATGGTGGACTCTGAAAATAAATGCCTTTTCCAAGGGAAAAAAGTATGCACTACAATAAATGATTTTATAAGCTAATGAATCAAGAGTAATAACATAAATTGCTTGATTAAGTGCTATGAAAAATATTCTAGACTAAACATTTACCTTTTAACATACCTGTCGTATAAACATACATTACAAAAACTAGTAACTGTTTTACGCTTTTCTACTTCTGGCATTTTATAAACCATATGATAGTTTATGGAATTTAAACATAGGAACATCATCATTCAATTGAACTTGAATGTTTACTAAGAGGCTTATAGTGCCTTGCAGAAAGCATGGAGGAGTATTCTCTACAGTTTATAATTTTATGGCTCTTTCTGCTCGATA